AGAAATCGGCGATCTCCCCATCTCCTTTTCCATTTATGGTTGCGTCTTTCACTTTATCTGCCATCCATCCTACTCAACGCCACCTGGATTATCCCTGCCTTTTGCAGACGGCCTCGTCCAGCTAGTACAGTGCATGCCTAATGGCATGGACCTATACTTAACAAGATCCTAGCCCCGAGTCCAACTTCCACCCGCATTCGCCTCCGATTGTTGTAAAATGTACTAACTCCGTAACCCCAATATTATCTGATCGACTGCCCAACCGACTTGCAAGCCCGACCCGAGAGCTTGAGGCGAACCTTGAGGACATTCCACGCATGCCAAAACATTCTCGAGATGTTGCATCATTCAAGCGATTGGGCCGATCACTCACCAGGGCCAGAGGGTTCATCACATTGATTCAGGGTGAGGTTAATCGAGTGTCTCTTGTTTGCATTTATCATGTTTCCATGCATTCGGTCTTGTGCTTTGTTGACCTGATGTTTGAGGCTTAAAATCGCCAGCGATAGTGAGCTGAAAGCCTGAAAGAATGTCCTAGGCAAGTCTTCCTGGACGGCTGAGCTCACGCCACTAATAGAGGCTGGTAACCTGCCTAAGCTCACGCGTGAAGGTAGCTTACGCTAGTTGCCGGGTGCCAATTCATTTGGTAAGAGTTGCGCAACACCATGCAATTTGGCACCTCACGCTGCGCCTGCAACACACGTAACCGATGATCAGGCCACTGAAGTATTCACCATGCCTTCATGACCACTCCCCGTTCCATGATGTTTACTGCTGTAAGTGCAACCAGCAGGTTAAACGAAAGCTGGTGTCCTGCTAATTACTTAACCAGAACACAGACTACTTCCAATCATCGTTCCACTAGGATTGTGCTGCCATTCTTCACTACATAATCCATCTTTCAACTAAACTAAATGTGCACTCCATCCTCAAGCCAACAAAAAGGTTTTGACGCCGATGGCGGTCTCTTAGAATGTCATGTTCTGGGCCGCCGGAGCCACAAGCTACTTGGTTGAATGGCATGCAACTCTGAGGGATTCTGTTTATTGGACATATAGCTCCGTGCGTGGACGATGCGGACTTGCAGTCCTGGAGAGGCACTCGCGTTTGGACGAGTGAATAGAGAGTAGCATCCTACCAAGCTGATGGCTAATTTCTCTGTTTCCCTGCAAAAAGCACCTACAAAAACTCCGTCGGACCTCGGATTGGGTGCCAATACACGGACAGACACATCCCCAGAACCGCCAGGATAATCGAGATGGTATACATGCGCAACCAGATACAATATATCCAAGCCTTCGGTTCTCCAATGACAGCGTGTGATCGTGAAACATTGACCAATTCCAAGCTCGGACAACAGCGTAGTCTGCTGGTTCAAAAGGCAGCGAACACCGACAGACTTTAAGTTGCTGTCTAAATGCTGAGGGACTCCTGACTGGGCCAACTCCCCAATTCGTCATATCAGAAACGCTCTCCGGTTTGAAGTGCCTAGGTAAGCAGACGGTACAAGAACTAGACCGGCTGCATGATATATATATATAGCAGAGGGGCGCCTGAGAACGCAATATGGCTATACCCTTGGAGCTTCTTGTGGGGGCTGTGGATGAGGTGTCGCCCATAGATCATGAGGGCTGTGTATATGTGCTGGGACTACGGTGTGTTCAAAGCTCACGACTTGTAAGCCGTATCGACTGTCACACTAACCAGGCTCGTGCCGGCGTCACCATGTCAATTACTGTCGGTCTCCGTGCTTCGAGACTCTGAGCAGCCTGACGGTGGGGTGACTTTCTCTCGAGACACCTTAGATCGATCCCCAGAACAGGGTCTGGTATAACTGACGTACTCGGATCCATCATGATAAACAAGGCATAATTGGAGGTAAGTGCGGGTAAATATTCCCATAGGATATCGTCAACCACACAGGACGGCGGCGGAGCGCCGGTTTGCCTCGAGATCTTCCTTACTAAGCGCCAGTATGGGCTGTCTGAATCAAACTACATAACCCAATTCAAAGCCCACTACCATATGGAAATGAGTGGTGTACCCAACTGCACCAATAGAACATTCTGGGATGGAAGGCCGGGAAAATATCGCTGGACACTGATATATTAGCTGGAATGGGAGTTCCTAGTCTTTCATTGTAACATAAAGGCTATCCATTTTATTGGAAACGTTTCCATCGCTTATGCTGACACTTCAAGTAGGGTTTTTGAGTGTTACGGGACCATTTCATTCATGCGAAACAGGTGCTACTAGTTCAATGAGTACGAGAACAATGGCAAACAACGATTTCAAAAAGAAGCCATTCTATGTGCATCAAAGTTTTTATCTGCGAAAACCGCGGGTGCCTCAGAGCTTCATATGATTGGCGAAGAAGAATTACTTTGTCCCTTGTGCTTAGAGAGGCTGATCACCTACCTCGTGGGTGACCTGATATATTGGAGGCGACGACAATGAAAGCGACTGTGACGCGTGTACAGAGAGCACAGGAGTGCTGATAGGGATCAGCTTCGAAAAGGCGCCCGTTTGCTGATAGTAGACGTTCAGGATGCAAGATCGGGGACGATTGAATTGTCTATTTAACAAGTGAATTGGCGTCGGGATTTAGCGACCCTCGGCACCTAAAAAGGAGAAAGAGAAGAAAGGCGCTTATAATCGACTTCCCAGGAAAACGTGTATTACGATCTCCACCTTTTTTGCGATACTGGGAAGAAGCCATCGGCGGACATGCTCTATGAAGTTGTTGTGATTTGCCGTGCACATTTGGGGCAATTACAATCATTGCTGCTGGGACGCGCAGTTTTCATGCTGTTGCCGACCCGCTGATAGGAAATATTGTTTCCACTCCTGCGCTTTAGCTCCCCTTAGCATAGCAGCAGTATCGGACCACTTTCCGTGAGCCAACAAGCGCTCATAACTTCATTCAGTGCAACATCTCTCCCCGGACATCTTCGCTAACTCGATATTATCCGAATAAAATGACACACCTTCACAGCCCTTGAGCGCCAGTTTTGCGGTATTTCAGACCTATGTAAAAGTGAATGTTGCTCAAGTAATTACTATATCCGGAAGACCTCGCCCAGCAGCTGTGCTGGACGCCGTAACCATATGATCGAGATTCCATGTGTTTTATTAATTACCCATATCTCTTGGAGATGTCATAACGGAGCTATTTGGGCTGATGCGTGCTCTCACTGTCCTGGTAGCTGCATGTCGAGTGCTTCTGGCGAGAAGTGTGCACGTGCAAGACGCTGTTTGGCCGACCAGCTTGAAAGTAGCCGAATGGGAAATATGGATCCAAATGCCTCAGTAGTTAGGTCCGTGGATATACAGCCTGATTGGGAGACCAAATATTCCTCGATTTCCACCTGATGAATGAAGTGCCAAATTGAATTGAACCAGCATTGAATTGCTGGCCCTCCGTTAGTCTGTCCAATGGTGCTGCCTACAAAAGACTCCCCCATGCATCTACGCGCCCATCCACTCCCTCATCTACGTGCCCCTAGTCACCATCCCTCCTGGCGGGACGAAGCGGCCTGCTCAGCTTCACTCCACGCAACCACAACAGTGTTCATTCACCCTCAGCTCACCACTTGTGCACTGCCATGCAACGGCCTAGGAAGTTTGCATGCCCCAAGTGCTCCAGACGTTGCACGCGCCCCAGTGAGTTTCGCGAGGTGAGTGTCGGGACCCCACATGCTTACTGCAGAAGCGACCCAAACCGACCCACGACCACTCTTCATAGCACATGGATATGCACGATTCGGTGAAGCGTACGTACCTTCTCTGCAGGTCAGCAGTGCCCATGGATTGGACTTAGGCGCTTACGGTTTACCGTTTTAGGCTACACATGCGTCTGTAATTATACCAGCAGCTACAAGAGCAACATGACACGCCATCAACATAGTTGCTGGTGGATCCAGAAACAGGAGAAGACAAAGGGCACCTCAGGAAACGCCCAGAGCCGCTCAGATGCCTCTCAGGCTACGGCCTCTCCAAGGGGGAGGATCGAGGAAGGCACCCGCCGTTCATTATCCAGGCTCCCTGATGCTAGCACCTCCCGGCCCTCTTCGTCACAAATGTCCCCGCCTATCAGGACTTCACCGCACCTATCTTCCTCCAGCTCCAGCCCAAACTCTCGTTCACCATCGTTGGGCAGTGAAGATTCGTCTGTAAATGTGGCCCTTGAGCGCCAGAACGCGACCTACCCCCCTTCTCCACCAATCCCCATGATGTCTGGTTCGAGGCCTCGGCCCCAGTCACCAATGGGACGTGAGTATGGCGGCGCAGCCATTCATCATTCGCAATCGCGTTCTGCACAGGAAGCCCGTTACTTCGGCACCGATGCGCTCACCACTGATTCGCCATCACCATCATCCCAGCTCCATGATGGTCGTCTTGAGCAACACCAACCTTTATCACACGACTCGTCTGGTCACCCGGTGGTATTCTATCATCAACGGCGTTCGTCAACATCTCCCGTGTCTAGATTTTCTCATTTGACCGCACCCCGGATTACGGATGATGCTCCACACGCTCCAGAAGTGCGTCGGTTTGCTGCGAACGATGGCGTCGTCTATTCTGAACCTAGGAATATGACATCTCTCAAGTCCACGGAGCAGTCAACCGATGTCTCCCTTGTACCCGCTCAGCGAGCTGCCCGCCTGCCGAGCTACATGAGTATCGACTGTCAAGGCCGCCCAAGTGCCACGTCTGATAGTCCCTGGAATGCTGGAGATTTCGGAGATGGTTTCGCAAGGCTGAGCCTTACAGACAGCGTACTCCCCCACGATGGCCTCCGTCGCAACGCGCTTGTGCCTCCCTCGTCAGGACAGGGGGAAGCTACATCCCCTGACACTGCATCATTTGCGTCGTACTGTTTCCCTGTTTCTGGGTCCCAGTCTTCCGCCCGCAACGTAGAGCAGCACCCCAACGTCGGGTACTCCGCGGGGCCGCAGGAATCTTGGATGTCGTTTATCCAAGGAGCGGGCCTTCAGATTCCGTCGCCTTTGGACGCCTTCGGCTCATCCCTGCCCTCCCACCCCGCCATGGGACTTTATTCCGGCCAATCTAATGACCAGTGGGCATTGTGGACACCCCCAGAGTCACCCTAGGTGAAGCCGGGAAGCTGTTGACTAGACGCACATCCCTCACAGACCTCGTTTGTATTATCTTGCTATCCAATTGTTTGTGACGAGTATTCGTTATGATAGTAACGATACTTTCCACTGTCCCCCGTCATGGACTACGGTCCTGGCAGGCCTCCTTTGTATTATGTCTTTTAGTTTTCAATCGGTTCCATTCCGTTTTTCTGCGTCCACGCTGTTGTCTTTACGGATCTCATAATTCTTTTTAAAATCTCGCGCCTGCTTTACGCCATTCCCCATTCCCTGGCCACCAATCTCCATTGCGCACTGAGATTTGGGGTTTATGAGATATACTGTTCGTTCAACTTGTTCTTTAGTGGTACTAACGCATGAGATTTACACATGAGCAAAGACAAGCGCCAGGTCTGTGAGCTGGACAGTGATAGTGCGCGTCAGCATCCGGCACCGGTTTTAACCGCTAATCAAAGATTTCGCAGTTACCTTCCTGCGTATGGCCGTGCGTACGTACAGTGACTTCCCCTCTGGGAGGCAGTGCCTCAAAATTCCCTAGGAGCATCTTCGCTCACGCTCCTATCCTGGGTGTTGGTGGCAAAAAACTGAATATCGCTGTGTCAATCTCAAAAATTCCCATATAAGGTAATTTTCAGAACAGCTAGTGTAATTCAGGGCAAGATAGAGGGACGGGCAGGTCTCGACGACACATCGGCCAGTGCGTTGGGGTTGTGTTGTGCGAGGCAACGAACGCACAGAAGCCTGCCACCGTAGTTTGAAAAGCTCTGCATTCTGATTTGGCCCGGATAGCTCGTATTGGGTGTGTTGCTATCCAACTAATTATCGGAAAAGCTTAGGCGATAGGGGCTGTAGGCGCCGGAGGAAGGGGAATGATTTGAAACATAGAATCCCGGGCGTGCTTTGAATCAGGCAAACGCCCATGAGTGATAATGTCAGCCGAAATAAAGGTCCAATGGTCTTTGTTTCACCCTTGAAGGAGAAAGAAACCCCTGAGCAGAGATAGGAGTACCGGGAAATGTGATCTTTGGGATGGAAACACATTTCGGTGGGTAATCGCATGAATGGAATTCCAGGGGGAACACTGCGCAATTCATGTTAACTGAAATTACCGTAAAATTGGGAATGTATGTGTCGAAGCGAACGATCTGAAGCAATTCAAGTTGGACGGATACGAGGTATTTCCCACTTCGGAAATATGTTGCGCAGTTAGACCGAATATGAGGATGATGTTGGTTGGAGGAGGGGGGTACGGAAAGCTATGGGATGCGGATTTCCTCGTGCACTAGTGGCAGATTGTACGCGCTTTCCACCACCATCATCATCATCGGAAAATATGAATTGGACGCCATGCGAACACTTCCTCGTTTATGGATGAGAGAGTAATGTGGGATTACCTTACAAGGTAAGGGAGAGGTGCCGACACATCGGAAATTATGTCCTGCATGGAGCGTAACTGTACAAATGTTGGCCGCCAGTGCTTTGGGTGCTAATGGCGACACTCAACTGAACAACCTGCACGACTGCAGCGCACGACTAGTGATTGTCTCTATGGTGTGGCACGAACAGAAGGGCAGAAGGGAGCGCAACAATTGATAAGCCCCTGACACTTACTCACCGTGTATGGAGAGTTATCTTAGATAGGCTTCAATTGCGATGAGCACAACGGCGGGGAATCACTGCACTGACATGATGACGTGTGTGCTATCTCTTTTAATGATCGAGTCTTCGTTCCTACGGTTGGCGAACGCCGTTCATTATATTGGGTCCACTCTCAACAGTAGATCCACGTCTACTTAGTAGAGGCTGGGATTCTGCCCAGCATTACGGTTGTACAAAGGGAATCAAGCAAAAAGGATATCATGCCCCCCTTCTTCCCACCCCAAAGAAATTTCGGCGGAAAAGGATTCTGTTTGAAAGCCAGTCGTGATCCGAGGAGTAGTTCAAGAGAGAGACTAGTGGTTAGGCTACCCGTGGGAACGGGAGTGCTCGACGGACTGGCATCCGTGCCCCTCCGTCACAGCGCGAATGTCGTGTAGAGTTGCGGTTTGCTGGGGGTAGGGTCTCTTCTCCCTGGGATTCCTCTCGGTTGCGAAATATTTTTGGCAGCTGCGGCCCCAGTACTATGTTATTAGGACATCACCCGTGATCACGAAATGGTCATCTTAGGTTCTAAACTGGTGACAACTTGGATTCTGAGAATTACGCCTAGGAGACCCTCTTGACTCCGTGGAAGGACAGTGATGAACAAGTGACCGGCCGGTCGTGCGGTTTGGTTTTGCTCTGATGGGTGCACATTAGCCGGTTGTTGGCTGTATTGTAGTGCAACATTCTGCCAGGCGCGAGGCAATACCTATGCATCCGCTACGCGGCCGCTTTCCTGGAGCCAGTTGAGATACATGTTCATCGCTTTCGCCAGTCCTCAACATATTCCTTAGCACTGCTTCGTGATTTATCCCTGTTTGGCTGAGGATACCTCCCATTACCATTCCGCCGTACCTGAACTGATAGCTAGCGGTGCGGCTTGCATAAGTGTTTCTTGGGCATGTGGAGCTCACAAGCATGTCCATCAGAGCGAGTGGCCCGCGATATTTCCTGTCCCGGAATTACCTCTATAACAGTCATTCCTATCGGGGACAGCCTTCGCTTCGTATGAAACGTTGTACCCCTTCGGTTTTGGATGACCTGCCTGTTTAGGCCTGAACGTAGTAAACGTTCTGGGGCGAGCGAGCTTGACAATTTTGGATGGGACTTGAGGAACGTTTCCTTGAAAAAAAAATAGATTGTCTAGATCCTCTCCCGAAATGTTGGATGGATGAATTTTCTCGCTGTTCGTACTTTTTTAGTCAGTGAGACCAAAAGCCGTTCAATCCCCAAAGTGGGATTCTGATCGGAAATCAGACAAGCACAGTCATTTACACGATGGGGCAAAACCAGTATTATTGTTGCGATAGGGCTAGTTCTATTGGTCTAGCCGACAAGGTTGCTACCCAGAGGCAATGGTCACACTCTCATCAACGTGGCGTTTGATTCTACGACTGTTGTTTTAGGGATCTCTGTGATAAGATACCCGTTTGGGACAGAGAAGGCAAGGCAGCTAGTCATTCTCCCGAGTCCAGGCTATACATCCGGTTTTGCTGATCTAACCCGAGTCCCAAAAGAGCCTATGGTGCCTACAAACTAGGAGGTTTCTTCCAACAGATCATCGAATGCATGCATCAACCCACTCTAGTGGATCGTATCACTGCTCAGCATTGGTAGGACCTGTTTGGTAATGCCAGGATGTAGGAAATGCGTTCAATCTATCCCATTTCGAGACGATATCTATGTTGGGTGTCATTTACGACCGGCACTGGAAAGTTTTCATATGAAATATGGTGATGTAGGTCATGGCCATGATGTGTCCGCACTCCCCACTGCTAGGTGACATGCATGAACGGGCTATTGTCCTCGCGCAGCCATAGCCAGTATCGTGAGGCAGATGAGGTACTACTCGACGTCGTGTTGGTCATCGCCAGGGTATAAACAATCGACTTCTACTCTCTGGCGCCGGTTCTGACAGTAGATCTGCCAGTGGAGGTCCTGTATAGCAGCACGAAGTGCTTTGATACCCTTCCATGTCGGCTGCATGTATGGACCCGCCGGATAATTCGCTGGTTCTTCCCGCATAGATGCCTTGAGGTGGGAGCACCGCGAGATCGTGTGAAGAGCTGATATCATCTTATCCACCATTTAGCGCTCATGGGTTCCAATAAGCGCTCATCTAAACTATGCGCACCTAGCTGCTTTTCAGAGAAAATGCAAAGCTAAACCTCCGCTGCCATGGGAACGTATGGATTAGAAAGTTGAGCGTTTCCTGTGCCAAAAATTGCCGGTAATGGTGACTGGAAAATCCAATTCTCCTTGATGCACAGCGAGCACAACTGTTCCACAGACGCAAGATGGGAGAAACACCACTAGTAGCATCTTAGTGATCACTTCAAATGATCGCGGGCCAGTATAGGCCGGCAGGAAGCATGGAAACACTAGGAAACGCGCGACGCCACCCCTTCCGCCTGGGTGTTTCGCCCGCAAGGGAGTATTCAATGGTATCGCTTTCATAGAGGCTGGGATATATTGCCTGTTCAATTATCCCTATACAGATGCGTGCATCTCTCGAGTAATGGCCAGACGTCTCTATGGTGGCGGATGTGGCCGAGCCCGGCCGATTGGTACTTACTATTGCTCCACCTACCAAACTTAGAGGCTGGAAGACTGATGCCTACCGCCCATCATCTCATTGCGGTGTGGAAATTGTTGATTGGGCAACTAGGCATATCTGGGGTTACACACGTGTGGCCGAGTCCAAGTCTTCTGGCTCAAATCGTACACGCCCAATGCCGAAACCAAGCCTCGACGGACGCGATCCGCTTGTTTGTTTGCTTTATTATGGACACCCCCGCCACTAGGTCCTCCTCTAGGGTCCTTCAATTTGTATCCGCATTCTCCGCACATGAAATTATGTAGCCCTTTCTTTCGCCAATCCGAGCTGCTTTCGGCCCGAATCACACATTCGGAACGGAATTCGTTGAGTGAGCATATACGGAGAGGGGGTACAATAAAGCACACAAGTAGTGAAGACAGTCATTGTCCAAAAGACATGAAGGAGGTAAGCAAGCAACGAGAGAGCGATCGGGGGGGGGGGGATCAAAATTACTGCATATAAGAATACAAAGGCTCAAGGACTCGAGCGTCGGCGGTTCAGGCACGGTGATGCCAGTACGCCTCGACCCGGTCCATCATCGTCCACATGGGCGGTGATAACCCATCCACCATACACGCACAAACCCAAGCTAAATCCACAGAATAAAAGAAATAAAAAAATAAAAACTCTTAACTAACCAACTAACCAAATCGCAAGAGAAACAGATATGAATGGATGGATCCGGTGGCCACGCACATACCGACTATACGCCCTGGCGGCTGGCAGTCGCGTACGAAACAACTTGCCTCTAGGACCTTCTCATCCCGACACCTCACCGCACTCCCAGATCGACACTGGCCAGGTACTGGGATTTCTGAGTCAGCGTCCCCTTCGGAGGTGAAATAGAAATGGGGAGCAACGGTTGACTGATCGCGACGCCAGTGGCCCAAATGCCCGACAATCAAAGGATTCGCCTGCCTGACGTTGCGACGGAGTCGAAATAGTGTACAACAGCGCCACTCCGCGCGTCTTGAACCGGGAATGTTGAGGTCTAATTGCAGCGAGGTCGGCAAACATCCCCTCCAGCGGGGTTGGTAGAGATAGAACGTAAACAACGAAAGACGGTACCAGGGAAAGGGGGGGAGGGGGTCGGAGGTGCTTAAGCGGAATTTGTATATGATACATTGATCTTGATTGTAATCATATTGGGACTCGACAGCGGTGGCATGGCAGTAGTGTCCGCACAAGCACAAGTAAAGAATGAATATACAGACCGTATTCAGACGCCCCGCCCTGCCTTGGTTGGGTGTATTTGCGCATTTGTGGCAATATCCCAAAAACGATAAATTTGAAACGAAGGAATGTGGATGATGATATCGTCGTGTCGAGGTGATTGATATAGGATATGTAGTATCAGTATCAAGAACAAAATTGGTCTACAGTAGTAACATTGGCGAAGGCGAAGAGGCAGGATGGTTCCGAATCGGATCGAAGAGGTCGTCTATTGAGACCAGAGTACGAGCGAGAACGAGATGAGAATGGGAAGTTGGGCTCCTGGTACAATTGAAGTGGGACTGGGGTCATTCACTGAGCCACATTGTAAGTCCGTGAGGTCATTCCTCCATGCCGCAATACTCTCGGTGGTCGTTGCGCTTGGACACGAGTCATGATCGATATAGGTAATCAAGCCGGTCTGCTGAACATGCGCCTGCGCAAATTCCAAGACCACACGTTCAAGTTCTACTCCCCTGGGACCATCGTCAAGCAGCAGGAATCCATCCCTCCACCCCATCCAGAAACCAAGTCCATTACCCTCCTCCCCCTCCCGAACTCATTGTCGAGAATGCGACAGTAGTGGTATCAAGGGAAGGCGAGAACGGCGAGAGCGCTGAGATTGCACCTTGCGCTGTTATAGTTTCAAAACCCGAACGATTCATTGATTGATGGGGAAAAAAAAAAAAAGGGAAACGGAAAGGTTAAGGAGTAACCCAAATCATCGTCAATTTTTATGGACAAAGGGCCAAAAAAAAAACTCTTGCTCACCTGCAGACTATTCTCACTACCCTCACTGCCATCCATCCGATTTCTCGCCAAACCTTCCACCGCCGTCATCTTCTCCGGTTCATCGAAACACATCGATTGAGGGCGGGCCCAACTTCCACGATTCACAGGTGGCGACAACGTTACGTCCATCCCCAAACGCCGTCTGTCCTCGATAGCACCTCCACCCTCAGCAAATGGCACCTCCTCCAAGGAACCAACGCCTCGAGCATGAGCACTATCACTCGACTTGCTCTTCCCAAATAAACTCCTCTTCGAAAAGGCCCCCCCACCTCCATTCCGATCAGTGCCAGCGCTCATCGCACCCATCCCAAGAGTCCCAGGTCGATGGGTGCCCCCACCCTTGCCCATCGTCGTCCTAGATCTAACAAGTCCCACGATCCCTTTCGTCTTTACACTAACCTTCCAATCGCTCAACGCTAACAACTTGGAGGGGCTGTGGGATCTCGAAGTCGAACTTTGGTGTGAGTGATAGGAAGTGGAGAAAGGTTCGGAGGATTGGGAGTCTTGTCGGTGAGGGGTTGGGAATGGAGGAAGCTGTGGCGGCGAGGAATGAATCAACGGTGGTGTAGAGGTGGGTGAAGTGGGTGGAGCGGGTGGGGGCATGGACCATCGTTGGATGGATGTGCGTGCAGAAGGCAAGGGCAGTTCGGGTTCTGAAGGGAGTAGTAGTCCAATACGGGGACTGGGGCCAAAACCAGGACCAGACACTGCTGCTGCTGGCGCCACAGTAGATCCCAGCCTCAGATCCGAATTCGAATTCGAACCCGACAAGCGCGATCGAATGATTGAACTCCGTCGAGAAAAGAACGACGACGACGGTCTCTTCTCTCCTTCCTTCTCCTTCTCCCTATCTTTCTTCCCTTCGCCCTTCACCCTGGCCCATGATAACCCCCTTCCCCTAACTCCAACTCCAACTCCGACCCCAATCCCAACATCAAAGGGAACGGGAGAAGGAGACCGCGAAATATAAACGCCTTCCTTGTCCAAATGTTCCACAAATCTCGAATAACTCTCGGTCCTCCCACCCACCAGCATTGTCGGTCTCGGAGTCTCAGCAGCCTTTCCCCCTTCCTCACCCTCGCCCTCACCATTACTATTGTTATTCTTCGGTGGGTGATCCTCTGAGTCTTCCTCAGTGATAGGTTCGATAACACTATCCGTGTCTGAGGACGAATAATAACAATAACTAATATTTAACTCGTTCCCGTTGGAACGGGTGTGGGGAGATTTGAATGTTGTCATCATCAAAGGTGGGGGGAGAGATAGTTCAAGTTGTGGCGAAGGTGGGTTAGAAGATGGGGGGCGCTGTGGTAGAGGACCTGATGAAGAACACGCAGATGTGGATGCGGACGTTGAGGTCGAGGCGGAAGGTGTAGGTTTGGGTGCGGGTGTGGAGCGTGATTGTCGATGTTGGAGTGAGGAGTGGGGGGGATTCGAGGACGAGCTCGTCAGTACGGAGGTCATTCTCATTGTTGTTGTCACCGCCATCGCAGCTTCAGTTGGAGTGCTTGCAGCGGTGGGGTGACGGGGGAAACCATCGGGGGTATGAGGAGGACCTAAATATGGGAGCGGAGAGGCATCCCGAAAAGATGGTAAGGGTAATTAGCTTTGTATACTTTTTGACCGCTAGGGTTTCATTAGGAATAGAAACGATCACCGGACGCGCGGCGAAGTGTAAAAAATAGGAGGGAATGAAGAAAAAAAGATGTTGGATTGAGAGGATCGAAGGAAAGAACGAGTTGGGTGCACATAAGCGATGAAATACGAAGCAGGCAGTCATGAATGTAAGTCGAGGTCATGCGAAAAGAACGAAGGACCGAGACACATGTGCTTTTCGTCCTTCAGGATGGATCCTGCACCTTGTCCGATGGAGTAGCGACTCGAAATCAGCTCCGAAGGCAGTGCTTCGAAACCGTTCAAGCAAGTACTATTACTACCTCTGTGTGGCAGCTTTGTACACATTACGTTCAAGATTTATAATGAGATACCAAAGAAGAACCCAAGGGTGGGAGGATGAAGGGATGAAAATTTTGGGATGAGGATTGGAGAATGCCAAGTGCACGCCTTTGGTCAATCCATGCGCTTCCCTTAGTGTTCTCTCTCTCTCGACCCCGATCTGTCGAACCGCCGGTCCGGAAGACCAGAGTTGGACAAGAACGCTCGAATGAACCGAATAATACGTGACGAGTAAATAGCAGTTGGGGGATCGGCAAGGAAGGTGGTAGTAAAAATGGGAGAAGGGAAAAAAAAGCACGTGAAACGGAAGAGTAACGAGCGTAAACTCACATTCGTTTGTTGTGGGAATGGAATTGGGATCCAGATGACAGGTGTCATCAAGGTGAGCCCCTTTGTTGTCGGAAAGGCAAATTTCAAACATCGTGTGTTCGAGAACGAGAGATCAAAGAGAGAAAGAAAAATGGTGGTTAGTGACTCGTGAGGGTACGGGAAAAACAAGGTTAACCGCGGAAGTCAACCAAAAAAAAAAGAAGACGAACAGCAAAGCAGGAACGTTCGAGAGATAAATATCACTGCAGAATTTGCAAATGCTCTCAAAAGTTGAAATGGAGACTGCTCTCCGAAACCGAAGGAAAATGAAACAGCCCAGGGTGGGGGGAAGGCCGAATAGAACAATGGTCAAAGGAACAAGGAATGCGGGAGTGGAAGGCCGGGTTTTGTTGATCTGCAGTTCTGGGCCTCTCCTATCGAACGAACTTCAGGAAAAAAAAAAGAGAGGACAGGCACCGATTGTCGGCGAGGCGGTGACAAGTTCTTGCTATTCTTGTTTGCTCTCTTTGGAAATGCACCCATCCGATACGGGCAAGAGTTGCCGTCTCCAGGTGATTGCAGATAGTCATGTTGATTGGTCAAGTTATTGGGGAAGAAGGTTTATGGACGTTGCGAGGGCAAAGGCTTGAAGAATGCGAGTGCTGCAAAGGCGAGATTCGAAGCAGATCGACGTGACGAGCCCTGAATTTGGGACCATTGTTCTTACGGTAGCGAATCCGAAAAAGTCGAAGGGAGAGGAAGAGAGAATTGGGAGTGGCGGAGATGAGGCAGAAGCAAAAAAAAAGGGGGGTTCGAAAGAGGACAAAGTGTATGAAATGGGAGGGAAATGAAAATGAGCTTGTACATACGTTCAAGAAACCGCTCAGCGCCCAGTAGAGGCTTGTTCATCGGATCATCCAAATGTTGATGATCACTAACCTCACACCGGTTCCCCCCATGGGTATGGCTTGTGAGAAGATCGTTTCGAGTGGCAGTGGCAGGACCAATCAAGGACGGCGTGAAAATATTTGGCACAGAGTTAGATCTGTTAGCATGGCCATGGCCGTGATCTCCAGCGGTGGATGAAGGGGTGAAGGGACGTGTTATCGTCAACGAATTCGTATCTCCATGATTATCGTCATGGTCATTATGTGTTGGTGATCGGGTGGCAGCAGCAGCAAGTGGAGCAAGGAGTACACTTGGAGAGGTGAAAGAACGAGGCCTTGAAGTTCGTAGATGATCCGTATATGGGTTGAAAGGTATAGAGGGATCATCGTCGTCATGTAGAGCAGCGCATGGACGGAGACCTAGACCTAGACCGGTGTCGTAGTGTCGGCTGGGAGCGGGTGCCAGAATAAGGTGATCATTAGCCACGGAAATATGAGGTGGAGTGGTTATGAGTCCGAGGGAGTTGGAAGGAGAAATGGTAGAGGAAGTTGGTGGATGGAGGAGGACGTGACGAGGGACAGACTGATGTTGAATATCGTGAGGGTTGAGTGGTTGATGCTGGTGTTGGTTCCTTGTTGAACGAAGGTAAGCATCGAGAGCCGCGGTGTCAATTGAGTAGGTCTGCATTGGACGCTTGTTGCTGGGATTAACAGCACTCGTAGAGGTGTTAGGATCTTTTCGCGGCGGTGCTTCACGGACAGGAGAGAGTGAAGTGGGAGGAGATGAAGATGAAGTAGGAAGCGGTTGCGGTTCGGACATCACTTGGGTCGTTGTCACCTTTTTTTCTTTTGCAATAAGGTTTGGTTGCACCTCGAGGCGGGTATTAGATATGGTAGTATGTAAACAAAGGTTAAGATGAGTTCCAAGTTCGATCGAAGTGCAGGTTGTATGTAAGATTTATGTAAATGATTTTTTGGGGGTTGCGGGGAGCGGGAGGACCAGGAGGGAGCGATGAGAAGGAGGGCGAGGGAGAGGGAGGGGGTAAGAGAGGGCGATTCCCTCACCCCCCTTTGTCAACCCCTTAGAGAACACTCGAGATCTGTTGTTTTCACTTGTGTGTCTCGGAAAAAAAGGCCACATGCATTAAATTAATATATCAATTGAATTGTCGATTCAGTTGCAATTGAATCCTCCCCCTTCCCAAAGGCACACGGACGGGGTCGTTGTTCACTCGAGTTATCAAAACTTGGCGAGTCGAACGTGCACCCCAACAACAAGCTTGGCTCTCCATCTTCGCATGTATCCTCAACGCTATGCACTTCCCATCTTCACCATCAACCCATGCATCTTCATCCATCATTTGACACAGCTCACATGGTCCACCCTACTTATATCTTATACCTTTGGCCCCTTTTACATCTCACGTTGACGGTCACGATGGCCTATCTTCCATCTTTCCTTCAAGCGCTGAGAATAAGTTGTGCCATCACCCGTGTTTATTATCCTTCCGCCCTCGTGATTCAGTCACGCCCTTCGCTACCCTAAAGCCTGATCAGGAAGAACTGTATGTATCATGGCTCCTCCTTCATCGTAAACAAGACAATAGGCGCTGCCCGTTAGCTGCTGTCAACTCGCTCGCTCTCTGACGTTGCCCCGTCCACAACTTGAAACAACATGCAACGAACCCTCGTGAATTCTCAAATTACTCCATTCAAAAGCTTCCAGACCCTCGACATTCACCCCGACTCAATCATCGAGCCTATATTTCCCATCATACAAGGTCCCTTTTTCATTCAATCCCTCGAAATTATCCTCAACGGTTCCCAATATCGCACCTTGTACGTTCCCAGTTCCCCCAATCTATTCTCGACGATCACCTCCTTCATAAAGATCGTCTCACCCCTCTCAATCCCGCCCTTAGTCCTTCTCACCTCAAGTGGCATATATCGATCAAGCTCGGCTGCAACAACGGTGCTTCCATATTCCGGCGTCTACAACAAATCCCCATGGAGGCCCCGCTTTGCGAGTGTGGCCACCATACCACCTCTTCTCATTCAGTAGCGGCGCAACCCCCTTTTTTTCAAAAGACGTAAAAAACGTAGTAAAAAGATATTAATTCGCCTGTTGCGGTTATAAAGGAAAGCTAGGGACATTGCTCAACCCGTATGTGCGACTGACCTTATCTTTTCATTGATTGGCCTGGGGACCTACGTGGATTCTGGAACCTGTTGAAATGCTTCCTTGTTTTCACTAGGATGTGAAAAAAATGACCCGGGGAGTGCGGGGGTGAAAAGGCCGTTGTAGAGTGGCCGAGATGTATATGTATAATGTATGTGCTGAAAGAGCTCGGCTTCATACTTGCGTTGGACCATTTCTGACCGTTCGCCCCATGCAGCCAATATGTGACTGCAGGTTTTGCGGCGCGTACCTGCGGCTCATGTCGCTTCTGATTCCTAGGCCGGTCTTCACCCACAGCTTCTAAGCGAGGTCATTCAGGCACACGTTAATTACCCGGCATTGCACACATTATCAAATGCCACTTGCAAATGCTCGTGCATTTGTTCCACGGGCTTTGTTTTCCACCCTTGGCCACGAGCGCCGTTGTAGGGATACAAAAACCAACTTGGTGGCACCACTTTCCACGCCACGGTCATGATCGATTCATCTTTGCATCCTTGGTCTGCATAGCTTTCATGCAGGGGACTAGCTTGGTACCATCTGGGAATCCAAGGATCTAGAAAGAAGGGGAACTCTTTCGTTCCTTAATCGATCTGCGCCTAGTGTTATGCATATATACTGGATTGCATTGGAATCCTTGGCGGGTATAGTCGGGGCGCGAAGTTCACGACGATTGGTCTGATATGATCATGATTTGATTACTTCATGATCAATCGGAATTGAACCACACGTGGCGTTCCTGGATATGATTCTGTGCTTCCCGCGGTGCGTGCGTGCATGGAAACAAGGGTCAGCTCGAGTCTATGCATAGGTGTTTGCGGTTGTGGGGGGGAGGATCTTGGGTTGGATCTTGGTTGTCCCTTCGTGGTGTTTTATTTTTTTTCCGCGGCCTTGTTTTGTTTTTGCGGGGATTTAAGTTGGACCCGGGTATACTGTACAACCAGCCATTTGCTGTGGCTGCATGATCATGCATTACAGCAGGGGACAGAAAAATCTGCCGGTTGCGATTCGAACGGGTAAGTGGGGCAGGTCAATCATCTGCCTAAAGAAGTTGGCAAGATCGTGGCTCACAAAAGGGGGTTTCCTTATTTGGATGAACAGCTCAACGCCGGGGTCCCCACCCTCGGCAATGACATCGGAGAATAGGCCAGTCGTTCTCTTTCTCAAAGTCCAATCAAACATGCTTCAACTTCGCAACATGGAGGTGTCCCCAGAACCCCAACAGTCTCATGCACCGCACCCTGCTCTTGTGCACAACCCCAGAGCAAGCGGGGCTCACCCCTGGCCCTTCCATAGCCGAGCATCCAAGAGACAGATCTTGACGCAACTCCGATATCCTGTTACTGCCTCTCTCCATAAAATCTTTATGCGGTTCTGAAGAATTCACTGCCTCTCATATCCCTGTTTAATCAGTCCCAGCATGCCTAGAAACCTTGACTTAATTTCGCAGTCCAGAGTGTAAAACATAGCTGTCATACTTATTTACACCCCTCACCTTTCGCCACCTCCCCAAACTGAACTTCCGGCCGGGTCGAGGGTTCACTTTGTGGTTCCCCAGCCGGACTTTCCGCGTGCTCGGAAATTCATGGCGTACCGATCCTCAGCTCGCAGCTGTTCATCGCGTTCAGTTGCTGGCTTCTGGAGCTGGCAAACTTTGAAAGTGAGTTGGGTGAGGGAAGACAAACCTTCTTCCGGGTGAGACCACGCCTGTGTAGCTCTCTGGAAATCGTCCGGGTGTTTGCTTCGATCCCAAGCTCATTTCCGAGTGCAGCCTGTGATTCATCAAGATACAAATCAGGCTTTTGTTCAATGAGGCTGTCAAGAAACCTGAGATTGTAAGCCAGAACATTCAATGTAGATGTAGCTTTCAGAGTTACATTCACTGCATGAAAACTACGCACTCGATATCGCCCTCGTATCTCATCCCGGCAACGGCGATGCTCACAGGAAGCAGCAAGCAACTTCCGAACAGCGCCTTCAGACACTCCCGAGACCTGGGCAATCTCCCATTGAGTCAGCCTCGAAGATAGCGAGACCAAGATATCTTTTGCACCGGGCTCAAGATGGAGGTTGTCACCGCAGTACCGCTAGCATCTGAGCACCACATTTAGGGGGGTTCCACAGTGCCATTGGGGATTCCATTAAAATGTTCAAAACATGCCGATTTTGGAAGCGGGTGACTCCACCCAGATCACTTACGTTGAAATCCCAACCGGCAGATTTTTCTGTCCCCTGCTGTAAGCCATGGGCTCTTCAAATTAATGCTTGTGCGGACCCGGCCATGTGCAATGTTGGTTGGTTTGTCGGAAAACACGGAATTTCGTTTTACAGCAGGGGACAGAAAAATCTGCTGGTTGGGATTTCAATGTAAGTGATCTGGGTGGAGTCACCCGCTGCCAAAATCGGCATGTTTTGAACATTTTAATGGAAACCCCAATGGCACTGTGGAACCCCCCTAAATGTGGTGCTCAGATGCTAGCGGTACTGCGGTGAGAACCTCCATCTTGAGCCCAGTGCAAAAGATATCTTGGTCTCGCTATCTTCGAGGCTGACTCAACGGGAGATTGCCCAGGTCTCAGGAGTGTCTGAAGGCACTGTTTGGAAGTTGCTTGCTGCTTCCTATGAGCATCGCCGTTGCCGGGATGAGACATGAGGGCGATATCGAGTGCTTAGTTTTCATGCAGTGAATGTAACTCTGAAAGCTGCCCCTACATTGAATGTTCTGGCTTACAATCTCAAGTTTCTCGACAGCCTCATTGAACAAAAGCCTGATTTGTATCTCGATGAATCACAGGCTGCACTCGGAAATGAGATCAAAGCAAACACCCGGACGATTTCCAGAGAGCTACACAGGCGTGGTCTCACCTGGAAGAAGGTTTGTCTTCCCTCACCCAACTCACTTTCAAAGTTTGCCAGCTCCAGAAGCCAGCACTAGAGACTAGAGGGGCACCCAACAATGACTCCGAGCCAATGCGAGGTTACAGGACCCCCACCGATTTTATTGTTATCATTAAAAATCAATTCGACAATTTTTTCAATTAGCATTTTGATTGACGCGGTGAACAAGCGCTTAAGTTATATACTTAAAAGTCAGGCTCCCTCAGAATCGTAGTACGACGAATCTGCGGCATTTGAGGAACAGTCCCAATCACTTGAATGGTGTGAACCCATTGTCGCGAGATTGGCTCGGCGTGCGCAGCGTGTCCTACCCTTGAGCCAAGTATGACCAACCCCGCTGTGTTCATCCCTATGCATAACTCGTAAAAATTCTTCGACAATGGGCATTGCTTTCATCGTCAGGTCATGGTGGGTCATTCCTCGCATCCAAATCCCTCAGTCCTTCCCCACCTGCTGAAGGACCAATTCTCCAGCTTCCACCAAAGACCGGCCAATGCTTTCAAAGCGCGCTTGTAAATCTGCGATCTGGAGAGAGTTAGATGTCGGCGTTTATTTGATGGAGTTATTCATCTTAAACTCACTTCTTCCTCATCCGATCCTTCGTTGAGCCAAAGGTCTATGGGTTGCTCATTGTCAGGGAGGCGCCCAACCTCTGCATTGTCTATGCCTGTTCGGGTCTGGAAAGGAGTCCAAATGGTCATTATAGGTCAAGTATACAAAATGAATATAACCTTCTTACTTGTCATATCCATACAATCCCGACCTCCGCTCCGGGCTCCCGGAAGTCCGAACTCCGACTTCCGGAGCCCTACTTCCCTTCCGTCACCTTCTCCTTGCCGACTCCCAAGAGGTTATCCCACCTCCGGCTTGGACACCATCTTCGGTCCGACTCCGGAACATTCCGGGTCCGATCCCAACCTCGACACCTTCCAGACGAGTACGCAAACCCTATGCTCCCAACTCCGGACCTCCGCTCCGGTATCCCGTTCACGTCTCGTCTCCGGAACCTCCGGTCTTAGCTCCGACCTCGGACTTTGACCCCACCTCCGCTTATACCCATTGTATTGGTTAGCTCATTCCATTTAAATACCTTTGCCAATATTCCGGAGTTTAACCTCCGAGTTCGGACTTTCCGGACTTACTCCGGGCCTTGCAACTATTGCATTGTCCATTTCAATTCCGCTATTCTCCCTCATTCCTATTTGGGCTGCTGCTTCCTTTCTATTCAGTCAGCTAGCCATTCCCGACTCCCATCCTCCTTCCTTCCTTCTTGGGCCTTGGCCCTTCATTCCTCCTTTGGGAAACACCATTGAGTCAAACACTTGACCCTCGGAGTTGTTCCTCTTTCCATCTCCCTTTGTCTCCTTTCGTCCTACCCTTGTTCCTTTTGATTCCGGACCCCTCCTTATATACAATGTACCTAGTAACTTGTAACCTCAGTCCGAAATCGACTTGAATTCCCCCCAAGAGACTTTCCCTCTGCTAGATCCGAAATTAGGGACCCCTAGGACAACCAGCAATGGCACAGCGCTCCGCCTGAGTCGCTGAGGCCAAGGTCCTTCCATGCTAAGTCTCCGATTCCATTCCGGAGTCGTCCGAATCCGCAAGTTCTAACATTACTGATGTGACTCAGTGGATCGAGTTCTGCGGATGAGTGGGTGCGCTTCAGGTTCATGAATTGACTGAGCGCCAATCTTGTCGTTTCATGGTCTTGATCATCGCTGTCTGAGGTGTTCCCTGTGCCGTGGTCTTGGTTTCCAAGATGAGAATGCCGATATAAAGGCATAGTGCGCCTACGGTGAATTTCTTCCCAGAATGCCATAGGTGGCTTCTTAGAATAGTGCACCAAGTGCTTACAAAGATGAAAAGTATGTGTATCTTGTGTCCCACATCGGCAGGTCCAGCTGAGAACATCCGTGTGATAGTCACGACTGCTGAGCTGCTTTTTTGACAAATCATTCCATGCAGTCTTGAAGGCACGTTGCCAGCTGGTAAGAGCACGGCTCCGTCCAATTCGATAATTGGGTTCTAGCACATTAGATGAATAAATGTAGGAATTTATTGTCGAGTATGTGGTGGTGGATACTGTCTGGTCAAGAGGGGAGCGAGTTTTGAACCGAAGATATCCGTGCTTGAGATGTTTCCAATGATTTTCGGTGATCATTGTTGTGCACACACGTGAAAGACAAGTCCCACTGGATGAGCGTGCCCAGAGATCCCAACAAGAGTACCAAGAGTTCCACAAGTATGCCCAAACCTCGGCAAGGCCACGTTCACGGCAGAATGTATACATTTGATATACAGAGGCACGTTGGATTTCTTCCTTGGTTTGAAATGAGCCAGAAGTCATTGGGAAGAAGGGATGTCGGCACAGATGATGAATGAATAACCTGAGAATCTGACGGCGATGAGCTTCCGGACAAAACACATAGTTGGGGTCCATCATGCGCTTTTCCCCTACATCCAACTGATATGAAGGGGCATCATCATGCTCACTTTCTTCAGCATCCCCATTAAACTCATTACTTTCGTCTTCCTCCCCTTCTCGATCAACACGTGCCATATTCTGGAGAACCGGGAGCGCCTTCTCAAACTCGTCCAACAAGAACCCATCCTCACCCTCTGACTCGACTCCTTGACCCTCAGCACACTTATCCGTTGCCTCATTCTGATCTGGTCCAGGAGTGTTCAGTATTTGTATACAAGTTTGCACCGAAATAGTAAAACTCACTTCTCAACAGCTGCACATCTTGATTTCCTGGCACCACCACCATCCTTTTTATTTTGAGTGTTAGAGATGGTTTAGGAGGCACCTTGCGCCCAATCAGTGAGTCTCCGAGGCGAATTCTGAGTATGGGAATAGTTTCTTGTGCAACTTTTATTTGATCTGCACGCTCACGCTACAATAGTAAGTCCTCAACAATCTATCCATATACCGGCTAGAGAGTCTGATACTCACATCTATATTTGAGAGTCCATGCCTCTGTCCAATAGGCATGAACCATTGGTCAATAAACTCGAACTGACTCCGTGCTTGGACTATGGAATATGGGGCAGGTGCACGCTTTCGAATAGCAAGTCGTTTTCTCAATGCGCGAAGTACATGCCAATAACATAGCTGATAATCAGCATTGGGCCAAACTGAACAGAGGGCATTGATTTCTGAGAGGTCCTTGTCTGAAAGCGTGAAGTGTGGCCAAATATCACACTCTTCCCGAAAATACTTGAACCATTCGATTAGGACATCTCGCTTTGCATGTAGTGGTGGGTTCTTTCGCTTTGGACAGACAAATAGCCACCCTAGAGGTAACCCAGATCCACTTACTTCGCCCATTAGGACAAAGAGCTCCCAGTCCCCACCGGCACACTTCCCTGCCAGTATGTGAATTTTATTGATGCCATTCATTCAAGTGATCTACTCACAACTTGAGTCAGTCAGAACCTCCCTAATGCGTGAGCCCCATTTCCAAATAATATGAGGGACCGCAAATGCAAGTGCTTCATAATTATCTTGGCCCTTGATCGGTATGATTGATGCTCGCAGCCACCCTGAGGCAACTTCCTCCTCTGCAGCACGCTGGAGTACTTTCTGTGCCGATGTGACTGGATCATCATCAAGATGCCACTTGTGCTGGTCAGCTAATTTCCATATAGCAAAAGCCGACTTTCTTGTGAACTGGATCGGATGGTAGTTTGCAAGGATCTTTGTCCATATCTGTATGTACAAATTAGTCCCTTGGCCAATAAAAACTAAACTGTTATTTGCACTAACATCTTCAAAAGTTTGGGAATCATCGGCCTCGATCATTTTTCGTACACTGGTTGGGACTTCTACCCACTCATATGGGATATGGTTTAGTTTGTGGACAATCCGGATACTGGCATAAGCATTTGCATCAATATCCTTGATACTAATAGTGAGCCACCCTTGGCAGGCAAAGGTGTCCATTTGTTGGGTGTCACGCTGTTTTTCGGGATCTTCATGCTTTCGGTGGATTTTCTGGGTGGATGCAAGTTGTGCACAGTGGAACTTATACTGGTGCTGGTTCCCACTGAACCCTTGTCTGCCCTTATGAACATGATAACTAGCAATTGGTGAGTCGTCTATTTAGCCTAGTGTTATAGCCCAGCTCACCACCACCGATATAAAGTTTTCTCAGATATTGTGCCAGCAAGATACTTTGCATACAAGCAAAAATAAGATTCTCTATCATTTGCACTTGGGTCCTCCACAAGCGTTGGTGATGTGGGTTGTTCTGGGATGGGGGAAAAATCCTTTGGAGGCAGTAAGATGTCTCCCTGGATTATGGTTTCGGGTGGGCAGTCATGGTGGAAAACCTCGGCACCATCAGCTAGAGCAAGCGTGTTTAAGAATTGAGAGAGTGGGATGACCCCATTCAGGGACTTGGACACCTGCTCTTGTTGCCGTCCTCTTTTCTTGTGGGAGGACTTGTGTGCATTGCAGTGGCGGCAATGTTCAGCAGTATGTGGAATGTAGTTGAAATTGTCGATGGTTTTGGTTTCCTTGCATATACTGCAAGTTTTCATCTCTTGCACCGTGGACATGGGAGGAGGTTGTGAAAAGGAGTTAAAGTTTAGTTCTCCGGACTTAGTTACATTTTTGGAATATTAGTGATGATATTATAAACAAATAAACGTGTCAGGAGGTCCTCTGAAAAATTCCCTCACATGTGCATGCTAGTTGCTGGGAGTCAATTTTGGGTGCCCCTCTTGGTCAGAGTGAAGCCAGCAGCTGAACGCGATGAACAGCTGCGAGCTGATTTCAGGAAGTATATGAGGGCAACTTACCGTGCAGATCAACTTGTCTTTGTCAATGAGACAGGGGTGAACCGTCACACATCCTCGTGCACATATGGCTGGGCACTGTGCAGAGAGAGGGCGTGCCGACGCGATTTCTTTGTGCGTGGTACCAAGTTCGTACTGAACCTCTATCTGGGAACTTTGATGCTTAACTTTTACTCAGATACTCAGTTCTTCCTGCGCTGGGCCTAGGATTGGTACGCCATGAATTCCCGAGCATGCGGAAAGTCCGGCTGGGGAACCACAAAGTGAACCCTCGACCTGGCCGGAAGTTCAGTTTGGGGAGGTGGCGAAAGGTGAGGGGTGTAAATAAGTATGACAGCTATGTTATACACTCTGGACTGCGAAATTAAGTCAAGGTTTCTAGGCGTGCTGGGACTGATTAAACAGGGATATGAGAGGCAGTGAATTCTTCAGAACCGCATAAAGATTTTATGGAGAGAGGCAGTAACAGGATGTCAGAGTTGCATCAAGATCTGTCTCTTGGATGCTCAGCTATGGAAGGGCCAGGGGTGAGCCCCGCTTGCTCTGGTGTTGTGCACAAGAGCAGGGTGCGGTGCATGAGACTGTTGGGGTTTGGGGGACACCTCCATGTTGCGAAGTTGAAGCATGTTTGATTGAACTTTGAGAAAGAGAACGACTGGCCTATTCTCCGATGTCATTGCCGAGGATGGGGACCCTGGCGTTGAGCTGTTCATCCAAATAAGGAAACCCCCTTTTGTGAGCCATGATCTTGCCAACTTCTTTAGGCAGATGATTGACCTGCCCCACTTACCCGTTCGAATCGCAACCGGCAGATTTTTCTGTCCCCTGCTGTAACGTGTTAAGAGCTCTCAATGCGTTTCAATGCCTTATTGATCCATTCCAACCCTTTATTAATCTGTTCCAACACTTTGTTAGTCTGTTCCAATGCTCGATGCAGAAATCAAATTGTAAATACTCAACCACGCTGTAAATATCCCTGTTCACAAATGCATGGACGCACTTCCCCTTCACTGCCAGCCATGGCTGCAGCAACCGTACACTCACATTTCCATACCCTGTACTTCCAAGCCACATGGGAGTCCCCCATACTCAGGCAAACACACGTTCCATGATCTATTGCCTTCACTTGCTTCACATCGATGATGTCTGCCTACTTGACAGTCAAGCCACTCTCACAGGGAACGACCACTTCAGCAAGTGACAAATCCCCAACAACCCCACCGTTCTCTTCCTGTGTCATTTTAACCAGTGGGGTTCCATATGGGAGGCCGGGCGCTGAGTTGTAACATGTCATTCAGGGACAGCATGGACAACGATTCCAACCACACACAGCAAGTCCTTCAAGTTTGTCTCCTACAGGAGCAGGTCTTGGAACAAGTGAGATGGTGCGCAACTGGACACTGTGGAGGAGCTACTGGCCCTGTCAGTTTCGATCACTCAACACATGGGAAACTTGCCTTGGCATTTGCCTCTGGATCTGGAGAGACCCTCGCTGGAGCTCTGGATGTGTGTATGGTGTTGACACCAAACCAAGAGGTGACAACTTCTTCTGGGGTCGAGAGCATCCGGGTGTATCGCCTGGTGGGGTAAGAAGCGGGCACGTATGGCAACGGGTCCGGCACAGGCAAATGTCCCTGAAGTGGGAATGGTGTTTATTATCATTAGAAGGAAAACTAAGCTACTTACCTGAAGTGGGAATGGTGAGAAGAAGACTGCTTCTCTGGTTCCCACCCCAGGTAATGGTGCTTAGGTCACATGAGAGTTGCCACATTGTCCCCATGCACAGCCCCAGCCACCCGGGTATCCCAATGGGGGATCCTGAAGGGATCCACTGCAGGCGCGTGTGCTGGGTGTACCCGGGGTCGTCCGGAGCATCCGGGGCTGGGTGCGTCATGCGTGGGTCATGGGCGGGTCAGTAGTACATCGATCAAGGAAAGTCATCCGTGTAAATAGAAATAGAAAGAACAGAGAATGAGACAGAGAAGGAATAGGAAGAGGGGAAAGTGGAGGGAGGAGGAAATAGGAAGGGGGAGAAGGGGGTAGCGGGTGGAGTGGAGCCAGGTGGAGCCAGGTGGAGCCGGGTGAGGCGGGTGTGCCCTGACAGGGTCATAGGTCCCAAGCATGAGTCGGTTTTGAAGAGATAGAAGTATAATCGGTGTAGATGGTGGGGAGATGGCAGGGGAAGAATGGTGGGGTGAACGGCAAGGGACACATACTGTACTAACATGACCAACAACTGGTCATGCGTCACACGAAGGTCTTGGATTGAATTAAAAATCAACACAACTGAATTGATTGGGTGCCTCCGGCAATTGCCAGAGGCTGTGGGAACTGGTTGTTGGTCGTGTGAGTACAGTAGTTCACCCATCCATGAAACCTGACCTGCGGAGATCTAGTACTTGCTGTACCTCGTTGGCAGGAGTTCGTTTTCATTGTGGATCAAGCTGGTCTCTGTGTATACGATCAACATTGGTACCAGGCCAATTTCCCAGGGTTGGCTATGACATGTGATCTGTCCATATCTGTCACCTGAGAAATTGCCTTGAGGCTTCTCACCTTGTGCTCGTGCCAGCCAGGATGACCAATAATGGACCAACGAGGGGCCAGGGGAATTTCCCAAGGGGTTGGTCCAAACAATTGTGGGATGCAATGATGCCCCACATCGCACTGAACCCTGGACTTTCTCAGTATGCCTTGTGGAGAGACTTCCACGAAAAGGTATGTTGTAGTACTGTGAGGTTAGGAATGAGATTCAATTTTTGTGCAGTATCCCGACAAATCACCAGCTACTTACTCTTGTTACCACCAAAAATTCCGTGACGATTTTTCCCAAGCAGTGAGCAAGTACCTCAGGGAACGTAGAAACCTTCCAGCGAGACCAGAGGTGACGCTGATGAGGAGGCCAGAGGGTCACTCCGAGGAGCACCCAGCTTTCTCGAAAGATGAATGGGCTGTGGCAGTATGATGGGTTCTGACCAGGGAGGCCCTGTCAAGCGTGGATGAAAATGTGGAGAGTTGGCGAGAATTTAGCATGGAGGTATGCATGGATGGCTGGTAAGCTGCAAATGAAACCTAACACAATGTCAGGGATCAGCAATGACCCTGGACCCTATGCCGGCTGCGCGTATGCGCGTGGGAAGTATGCCGGTAATTCCCGTCTACTCCGCTTACCTAAGCCCCGGTGACCCGGATCATCTCCGGCATTGTTCTGGAACATTCTATGATCACGTGATTCTATCGGCAATCCGTTTGGTTTCCTTATTGCCGGACTCTACATGTATATAGCTGACCCTAAGATGGGGACATCCCTTTCCCCCGGCTTTAATCACAACTAGGTTATCGGAGCATCTTGCGCGAGCACGCGTGTCCCCTGACACACAACCACAGAATCCATCCCATAACGAGCTTGAGTGGATCGGGCTCTACTATTCACAATATGACCTCTTCCAAGATATAGAATGTCAAGTCCATTGTTCAAGGTACTCACATTGAAGGGATTGCTGGTACCATCACCCTAACACACACTGTGGGAAGCTAGAAATCTGAATGCTCTTCTTCCTATCCCCACCGATCCCCTCATACCATCTGTGTCGCTCAAATGTAATATACATGCTTGCTGAACATAAAATCCTTGGTGAATACATGACTAATGTTGGGATTTGTCACAACGTTAAGATGATATATTACAGATACAATCACAGCTTTGTCAGGACAAGATTTTATGACATGATTTTGGACAAATACATGACGAAAAAAGGATTTATTACATAGATGTGGTGAAGGGAGGGACTGTGGTGCAAGGTGTAAACATGATGCTCATTAACCTAGAAATAAGACAATCAGCAACATGATGAATGATTGTTCTTTCCTCCCCTCTGACCTGAACTCCTCAAGCTCGTGCATCTAGTTTTTGCCTGGCCCAAGCTCCTTAGGCTTGCGCACCTCTGTGTTGTGGGCTATTGCTGTAAAGTGTACCTGGAGAATAATTTATAGGTGCTAAAGACAGGGTGGAACACCAAGTACCTTTCTCTTATCTTGTACCGCATATTTGTCGTGGCTGTCATATCCGTACATACCCGATCCCAATCTGACTCCCAGACCCCCATCATCACCACCTCCGGAGTCCTACCCTACCGCTGTCCGTTCCGATATTCACCTTCGGACCTGACACCACTCCTCCCCTCACCCCTCATGCCACCTCCACCCTCCCGTCCTTCTCCTACCCTATCTCCGTTCGCTCCGATACTCATCTTGGACCGAACATCACTCCTCTCACTCCTCTCACTCCTCCTCCCACTCCTCCTCATGACACCTCCACCCTTCCATCACTCTCCTACCCTTCTCCCATCTGCTCCGACACTCACCTTCGGACCCGACACCTTTCCTCTCCTCCACTCCTCACGCTTTTCCTCTCTCCTCTCTCTTCCCTCTGACTCTCTTCCGCCGACCCTCCACCAAGTTACAACCTTTCGCCGCTGTCCCATACCCCATACTTGGACACCGCTCATACCTTCGCTCTGAGACTCCATCATAGTTCCTACCTCGGACTTTGACTCCACCTTGGCTTTAGTCCATTGCATTGGTGACCTCATACTACGTAAACACCATTGCCAATATTCCTCAGACTTTCAACCCCGCCTCTGTAACCTCCGTAAGCTCCGCAACCTCCAAGCTCCACGGATCATCTTCGGCACTTTTGCCGCTTGTAATGTATCTTTCATGTTTTCCCCTCATCCCTATTTGGACTGCTGCTTCTTCCCATTCTAGCCAGTTAGTCATCATCCCCACTTCCCCTCATCCTCCTGCCCCTCTGGGCTTCGCCCTCCTTACCTCCTTTCGGATGTACCACAGGTTCTGCCCTATGACCTTCGGTACCGCTATGCTTCTGTCATCCCTTTGTTCCTGTTCGGATGCCTTCATTCCAATTCAGACCCCCTTTGTTTCCTTGTGCTTTCACCCTCTCCATTATATATATCGGCGCTTGTACATACTCGTTTTAGGCCTTTAGTCCGAAATTGACCTGAAATGCCCCCAAGAGACTTCCCCTCTGCTAGATCCGAAATTAGGGACCCCCAGGACAACCAGCAATGGCACAGTGCTCCGCCTGAGTGACTGAGGCCAAGGTCCTTCCATGCTAAGTCTCCGATTCCACTCTGGAGTTGTCCGAATCCGCCCGTTCTAACAGTGGTGCTTTTGCAAACCTTTGCCACTGTACTCAACCTCATTCTCAACAAGGGCCACAGTTTTTTTCGGAAGCGGACACACTATTCAAAAATGAGCATGTCGGAAAAGCACTGCAGGTGTTACATGCATTATGGTGGCTTGTGGGGCATTGGCAGCCAGTAGTGTTTCAATGAGCTAATAGAGAGGACCGTGATGGATGCCACAAAGACCAGGAAGGGCCACAAGCACCATGGCATGTGACCATAACATCCCAAGCACCCCCTTTTATTGGGCTCTGACACATAATCAACAAGCTACACCCCCCTCCCACCTTCCAACTTTGTAGGCAGCTCTTCCCCCGGTCACCAGAAAAATAATCAAAATGTAAAAAAGAGAGAGAGAAAACAATGGACAAGTTGGCGCTTCTGCCTTAGGCAGCATGCCCTAGATAGACTTCTGCCTGGGACCTTGTTCACCTTGAGGGATTATGCTCTGATCCCCATGTGCCAAAGTGTCATGATCCCAGGGAGCATCGGAAGTGCAGAAAGAAGGAAAATTGATGCAAGATGAAATGAGTGGAAATGGAAAGCTGCAGAACATAAGATGTACCCTCTCCCCAATGGATAAGCGCTGAGATCAATGGATCTACATACAGTCTTTTCTTGTAATTTTGGACTGGTCAGCTAACTTGCCAACAAACCAATGTACACACCTAGAAGCCAACCAAGTTGGCCCTCAATGCTGTCACGAAGAGGAGGGAACTATGGGATGGTGCAGGGTTACCAATTATGCTGGCTGGGTTGCAAGAGCCAACTAATGGTCCCCAGGTATGTACAGCCATTCTTGGGCAGGCTAGAGAGCCTGGGATTGCTAGACAGTGGAAGAGTGGGCCCACCCTTCCACCATCCCAATCCATATTCCTGCACCCGAGAGAAAAAAGAGTGTGCACAGCCTCATATGGGTTTTATACCCAACCGGCACTATCCGGAATTACATGAGTGTGACCAGAATCATATCAAAAGGTCCTGCTATAAGCCATGACATAGTCCTTTTATCTTGTCATATCGTAGGGTAAAACCACCTATATATATATATGAGGATTTTATACATCGTGGCTACTGTACATGCAAGAGGAATAAGCAGCGAAATGACATAACAATAACAAATGAGTGATCAAAGGGGCCAGTGGTATGGGAGGGCTGTGGCTTGGGTGGTAAGTATTTGGGATATGAGACCATACTTGGAATTTGCAGGAAAGAAGGGCCAAATCGTAGGGGTCCATTTGGCCTCAGTGGCAGCAATAGTGACAAATGCGACTTGTGCACTTATTCTCACATGCGAAACCACACAATCATTTCCATCTGAGCTCAATTCTACACTGCATATCGACTATCACATGCTGAGTACAAGAGGAAAGTGTCTAGCTAAAGAAGCAAGCATGCAGAAAGAGGAAAAACACGTCATATTCCCCTTCATAAATCCCAACAGATGGGTGTAGGGGCGTGTGATCGTTACTCTCCTGGTGGATCATAGGGTACAGGAGGAGCAGCTCATGTTTGGTGGTCCATGCAGGTTGTGCAAGATGCCTTCATCATTTGAAATTTCTCAGCGTTTTACCTGAGTCGGATGCATCGTCAGTCCTCAATACCATGACATACAAACCCTTTTCCCCAAATTTTCACGCTGGAGACACCAGATGGTGCCTATGTTGCTAGACGGTAATGTCGTACTTTATGTTAAAGTCCCCCAAGCACAGGGGCACAATGCCGCGACCATACCCGATCTCACAGCACCAGAGTGCACCGAGCTCAAGCTAAGGCCAAGAGGCCTTAGTGTTGAGTTGCCATCTGACGTTGATCCTGAGCCCGTGGGCAGTGCCTACCGTGGCAACACCAACCCGAGCCATTGTATATGACATGAGAGTGTAGGCACAAAAGGCATAACCTCCATGGCCTAGCAACCCCCAGCCAAGCCTGCACACGAGTCGCACGATGCCCCAGCCCAAGTTGTGCCAAGCTGATGATGGCGCCAAGCACCAACCAGTAGAGACCCCAGCATGCAAAGGATGTCAGTTAAACACCTGTGTTTGACTGAGTCTTCCAGTGCGAAGTCGATCGCGCATTGTATGGAATTCTACAGCGAGAGCGAAATCAGTTGCTGTGGGCATGGGTTAGCTATGGGAGTGGAAATGGGGCATACTGCTGTGCCCAATCCTCTCATTTGACCTATGGTTCCCCAGTAGCGTGATACCGAGTTCTGGGTAGTTTGGTGCTGGAGCCAGTTGATGGTGGTAATGACAAGGAGAAGCGAGGGCACAATGAGGATTGAGGGTTGAGTGTTTGAGGGTCAGTGCCAATGTTGTTGAAGCGCACATGCTGGGATGCCGTGGGAAAGCTCTGAGCGAGTTACTGTCTCAAAAATGGAGTCAACTCCTTCAAATGAATCTGTAGTTGTTGAGGAATCCAAGTTTCGCACCTGCCATATACCTTCAACACGGTGTCGAATGTCACGTGATACTTCACCTCCCTTGAAGTGTCATCTCTCTGACCATTGTCTGTATCCCTACTATGGTTTCCATCCATCCCCATGTTCTTTGCTCGCATCCAATCTGAGATGTCTTTTTGGCTTGTGGCCTCGTCGTGGCTATTGTGCAGCGATTCTGCAGTAAATGATGTGGTTTTTGTCACTGTCATCTGTTGTTGAGCATGTTTGCTTGCATCATCAACTGAATCATCCGTCTCATTTGCCCACTGAAGTCGCCATATCAGGTACTCTTGGGGATTTTTCTTGGTGCTCCGGGCTCATTTCCATTCTACGGTTCTCGTTGTCAGGGGACGACTCCTGGGTCCCCATGACCCTCCCCTATGGCCCACAGCCTCAGGTCTGGCCAGCCCTATCCAGGGCACAATCCTACTGTGGGTAAGAAGATGAGAAGGAAGCTAACTTCTCATCTTCCCACAGTGGCCACAATATCAGGCAAACTTCTGGGGATACCCAGAAGTCACATGAAGGGGTAGGAACCGGGCCCAGAGCATGCAGTGTGCAGAGTGTGCACGCATGCGGGAAGCACGGCAGGTGGAAGTGGGCCGGATGCGGGTCCGGGTCCAGGCTAGTCAGGGTGTGTGCCCTGACACTCATGTGGATGCATGATCCTTTGGCATTTCGATGATTTGCTCAACATTGTGTGACCATCCAGGCCCTCTTTAAGTCCTGCTGATACAGGACCTTGTTTTCCTCCTTTTTTTACTAGCCATTACTGTGTCCTCACTGTGTCTTGCAAATTCTATGTCAACAATTTGGACAATGATGATTTAAGTACAAGTTATGCGGTGCAGAGTTCAATGAAGGGAGCACTCTAGTGGGAGTAAAGCAGAAATGGTGATTCAACCTGAACTTGTGTGCAACTGGCCACCTGGAACAGTGAGGTAATGAAATCCATCAATGTGGAAGTGGAGGAACAGAGATCAAGACTGGATTGAGCAGGCTGAGTCTTAGATTGAATCAGGACAGAACTACCATGGAACCAATGGTCAGCCCTATGAGGTAGGCAACGTGAATTGGAAACAACGAAGCGAGTCTTGATCCTGAGGTTGAACCATATGTCAGAGTATCAGTTTTCTGAAATTCAGGTCAAGAGAGTTGTCAGGGACTACAAGTCCACCGATCCACAATATGCCATGAAGCAGATGGCAAGAAAGAGACGATCATCATAGTCATTGGAAGCACCAAGCTTATTGACCAAAAGCAGTAAGTGTTTGTCTTCGATCGGCAACTTCCACACTCTTGGTTGACCATCTGTTCATTCAGTGCCACGCAGCGTATTAAGGGCGATGGTGTTAGATCGGGCGGACTCGGACGACTCCGGAATGGAATTGGAGACTTAGCATGGAAGGACCTTGGCCTCAGCGACTCAAGCAGAGCGCTGTGCCATTGCTGGTTGTCCTAGGGGTCCCTAATTTCAGATCTAGCAGAGGGGAAGTCTCTTGGGGGGAAATCAAGTCGATTTCGGACTGAGGTTACAAGTTACTATGTACATTGTATATAAGGAGGGGTCCGGAATCAAGAGGAGCAAGGGTGCTCCGAAAGCAGACAAAGGGAGCTGGAAGGGGGAACAACACCAAGGGTCAAGGGTTTGACTCAATGGTGTTTCCCAAAGGAGGAGTGAAGGGCCAAGGCCCAAGGAGGAAGGAAGGAGGATGGGAGTGGGGAATGGCCAGCTGACTGAATAGAAAGGAAGCAGCAGCCCAAAATAGGAATGAGGGAGTATAGTGGAATTGAATAGGACAATGCAATAGTTGCAAGGTCCAAAGTAAGTTGTCACGACCCCGGCAATTCCCACGGTCAGGTGATCATTCCCC